AAAAGGTGGACCATATTAGCCTCCAAAAACTGGAGCATGCTTTTGCCGATAGAAAATTTCTACGAGGAATGAGAACGAAAAAACAGAATCCGAAAGCAGAAAAATTCTCAGTTATGGCGTCATGGCGTCTCGGGAACGGAATTCGCATGTATGTCCCTTAGACGTAATATTTTGCGAAAGAGGAAGGGAAAATTCCGAAAAAGAAGAAGTGGATTTCCCGAAGAAATACAGAAAATATTTTCCGAGCATGAGGCTAAATCCAGGTTTACAGGTCCTTCTTCGGAAATTTTTTTTGAAGAATAATCAGAGATTCCCGATTTTTTTAAATTACAGTGTATGTATTATTCGTCGCGTATTTCACACAGCACACAAATGTGCTCTACCCTCTATCCATGGAATCGTCACCCACAGGAGTGTTGTTTTAACTCCCTATACGTCTCGACTAGCCTAATAATAGAGATAAATAGACTTGGACACTACCTTATGTACTATCCCCATATGCAAGCCAGAATCATGGAGCCCAGACCATAAACAAGCTCATATTCCATGTGTGAAACCCATATTATAGAAGTTTCACCTAATCCGAAAGGAATTTCTGTAAAGAGATGGGGTAAGTAGGTTCTGTCCGCCGCTTCCTCATGCTGAGACCAGAGTATCTCTCTCTCCAGGGGTAGGAACTGAACTTGTGGATACGCCATCCTGCCCATCCATCCAACAGATGTAAAAATGGACAGGGGGTTACACTAGTATAGGCAATACTAAGAATGAATACATACATTTCCCCACCGGGGGGAAACCCCTACTCGGTAAAGAATTTAGAAAGTGGCAGGGTGAGAATCCCAATAAGGTGCTGACACGAAAGGACTGGAATGCAGCGGCTCTTGGAAAAAGTTTTACAAGGGAAACACTTGACAAGTGCCATCCAGATTGGCTTCCGAATCTGCGGACTCTCCCTGTTCTCTTATTCAATCGACTACAGTAAGTGTCAAAAGGGGTCTGTCATTCCGGTCTGGCATAATGAACCAGAGGAGGTAAGGGTCATGTCCTTCGAAGATTTCAAGTCTCATGCATCCACACGTCGTCGCGAAGCTAGGTAGAGGAAACGCTCTTGATGATGATCCGACGTTCTCCGTCCTGGTCACGGTTTTCTGTAACTTTTTCAAAAAGAAGATAACCACCTCCTTTAAGGGCCACTTGCTGCTGTCATCGTGAAAGATGACTCTCTACGAGCTGAGCAATCCCCCGTAGATAGAGGTCTTCAATCAACTAAGGTGCCTCTCGGGGATGAAGACGTAGGCATGACAGAGAGGGGAATGGCTATCGATGATAGGCACCTTCCAGGACTGTGAAATTGACGCATTTCCTACTATTGCCGTCTCTATTAAAGAAGCAACCAGATCCTGTTTCACTACAACATCCTCGTCGGTAGCCCTCCGGCCTGACTTCGATCGGGTGGATGACGTTTATCGAAAACAGGGAAGCTAAGAAACAAAGAGAAAAAAAGAGAAACAACGGAGAGAGATGATGAAAAAGAAAAAGCCCAAGAGGAGGAGGATTTGGCGCTTAGGAAGCGCTTGAGACAGGAGACGGCAGAAACAAAAGAAAACCTAAGCACTAGACGTGTTAAGGGAAACAATAATGAACAGGAATAATTGGATGAATGACAATGAAAAAATCTTCTTGGCTTGGTAGTTGCATGTCCAAGACAAGTCTCTTCCAGAAGTCTGGGTTTTTCTAAGTAAAGAAATAATACGTGTTTTGTTTGCCTAGAATTTCATTTTTGTTAAATTTCTTTAAATTTCATTTAAATTTCTTGAGTGTATTTCATTCATTTTCATTTCTCAAAAAGAATTAAATAGTCGATCTGTGTCAAGGTGCCATAGCGTAATGTACCATCATGACACCATTATGGTAATTTTGTTAATGGTCAAACCTGAATTTCGATTGTGGGGTTCAAGCAATTTAATTAGATGCCCTATGGACCACGTGGTTGTACCGGTAGTGGTCGGGATGAACATTTTGGGGTCGGATTTGGTGAGGGGTCGGATGTGGACGAAAATGAATGTGATTTATTTATTCTTCGCCCAAATTCAATTATATATTTGATCCAGAAAGATGTATATGCATTGTGTAAATTTTCCTGCCCAGCAGTATAGGTCCGAAAGCATTTGAGGTGAAAATGTAGGCGATGGGCGAATTTAGTTTTATATTGAAGAAGTTTCTTAAGGGGGTAGGAATCTACCTCACTTACCCAACGTTTCTTTTTTCCGTTACTGCTGAAGCGAATTTCTCCATGGAAAATAATATTTTTTGTGGATTATTTTTTCTTATATTGTGTCACGTCTTTCACGCTTTTTGGGTATCGAGGAGTTACGTTGGATTGAAGTCGAGCTAGTTCACCAAATTCCAAATAGATCTAACGTTAAACGTTTTTCCATTAGGAAAACTCAAAATAAGCCTAGTACATGCCTGTCGTTGCTATGCACAAGAAGAATCTCGTAAACTCGGAGGTAGCCTCACTATGAGCTTCATTGTCTCTTAAGTTCAGAGTTTAGATTATTTAGACGGATAAAATGTACACCTAGGCAAATGTAGACACACGCTGAAGGCAGTCCATGGGTTATGCCTGATGAATTGTTCTAATAGTTTCTCTGATGATTGTGGATAATTATCGCTGAAGTGGGTCGGAAGTTTGGGTCACGCATGAAGAATATGGAAACTTCCACATTGCTCGTCTTTTGGATGGGTGACGGTGGAAGAAGGGAGAAAAAATTTGCATGGGCTCGATCCAATCGGTGATCGAGGTCAAGAACTAAATGTGAAATTATTGATTATGGATTGATGCGGCTGCAGGATTGCCATCCTGCATATACTCAAGCAGAGAAGGTGCTCACATCAGCAGAGAGATGGGGAATGAACCGTCATTGTTGCAAATCAGCCTCAGTGAGTCTTAGAACTACAGAAAGAAGATCCTGCGGTTCTCAGACGCTCTCTTTCACAATAAGGCGATTCTTCCATGAATGTTTTTCTTAGAGATTAAAACAATTTAACCCATTGAAAAATGCTACCATCTCCCAACACTAGTTTTTGGAAGATAGTCAACTCAGAGGGATAGCTCTTGAATTGTTCAGGATATCTTGGCACTGAGGAACAATGAGATGCAGGCTTGTGTGTACTTCTGCAGGTGTGGGTGGGCGCATGAATAAAATACAGAAATCTAATTTTGACATCTAATTCATGTCACTCTATTTTCCTCAGACTTTGTGTGCATCTAGTGATATATTTATTGCTTGGGGATCCAGAAATGACATTCGGCGACTTCAGGAGATTGATGTTTTTATAATTGCACGTTCCGGAAGGTTCTTGTTTATAGAACATCCCGTAGGAAAATAATTATGGTGTCAGGAAGTCGAAGGAGGCGTGTTTGATGAGAACCACCTAGCTGAACTCGAGAGACTTAAAGATGTAGACTTACTACATCGGCCATTGTCTTGCATGTATCCTTCGTTACACGCGCACCATCCATTTTCATTGCACACTGCATCCTCGCCGTCGCATCCCACATCTGCTGTGCATTCTTCACCGCAACATTGGGGGATTCCTGTAAAAAATATATGTCTAAATGTGCTGACTTGAATCATTTTTGCGAAGGATACGAAGAATAAAGGAATTTAAAACCATGTGGATTTTACTCCTGTAAGTGGTGGGAGTTTCAGCTCAGGAAAGTAAATTTCATTTTGAGTTTATAGATGAGTGTATAGATACTTAAAGATGTAGACTTACTACATCGTCCATTGTCTTCCACGTATCCTTCGTTGCATTTGCAATTTCCTAATCCAGCATTGCAGGTGGAGTTCTCCACGCAGTCTTCGTCCATCAATGTACAGCTTTCTCCAGCTTTCTTCTCTGCATAGGGAGAAATAGGAAGCTTTCCACTTCCATTCATCGAGACTGAGATCGACGTTATTATACATTTGAATCGGTGATGTTGTCGAGAGAAACTGTTCTCAAACGGTTCCATATTCGTTGATTTTCAAAGATGAAAGGGCCGATCTATTTTACAGCCTTAGGTAAGTCAGTGATATAAATTTTACAGCGTGTACATGTAAAATGAATTGTATTTTCCTCTTCAGAATCTGCCCATGATGCCTAGGTTTTCTTCGAGCAGTAAACGCATCTAGTCATTCATATGACTTCTCAAGATTTTCCACAATTGTGTAAAGGTAGAACTGTATGGCATACTTTTGCTAGGTTTTTGGCGTAAACTATGGATTTTAGTATCTCATGATAATAAATCTTTTTTTAATACATTATGGTTCCATGGGTTCATCCACTTCCCAGATTGTCAAAATAAAAACAAGGAATTGCATGCACTCAAAAACGCGGCCCAAATGTGTAACTGTCCTTGAGAAGTTTATAAATGGCCATTGGAAAAAGTCTCTTTCCTCCTCTTCCTAGAAACGAGCAAATTAAATGTTATTCAATGCTTCTCACTGAACAAGTTAACGACCTTAAGACAACATTATTTGTTGGACGGAAGCTTTATGTATCGTGGCCCGATATATAAGAAGGTGAACTCACTGCATAATCCAGATTCAATCACGTAGCCATAGTTGCATTCACACTTTGGAATGGGACTCCCCTGGCAATAGGCATGACTTACACAATCGCCTACTCCAGAACAATTCTCTCCAGCTGGTATCTCTGCGAAGAAAAGGAAACTGCAATGACTATCTTAATTTGGTGCGTTGAAGATTGAAATCGCCGATGAGCGTCGCACATCATAATTTATCAATATTTTAAGACTACGTTGGCAAAATAATCAATTTCCAATGGTTGATTTCTTTGACGTAATGTTAATATCCCGCGAAATGCACTTAAGTGGATTTTTCGGAGTATTGACTCACTGCAGATTCCTGCTTCGGACACGAATCCAGTGTTGCATGCGCATTGTTTTTCATCTTCTGAGCAAGCAGCGTGATTCAAACAATCGGCATCTTGAGTGCAATTTTCACCGACTTTTGGCTCTGCGCCGAGAAAGATGACAGGGACATGATTTTGTTGGTTGCGGTGGAGATGAAATCGCATCTTGATCGAGGGTGTGAAACATTTATTTCGCGATTCTGGCCATTCTTGAAGTTGCGTTTTTTTAAATTGAGATTGCTTAGTGTGTAAGTTAAGTTAAAGCCACGTGATTAAGCCAGCTGACTTAACTCGTGCAAGGCAAGTCACCGCTATTATGAAGCATACTGGTGGGGCCACAGGAGTGTCTTTTGGCTTAGTTTTACAGTGTCATCACTCAGCCTGTACCGTCAATATAACCCATTTTTATCGGTTATTCCCCTGGCATTACCACCAGTGACCACCTATAACGATTTACCTTGCTCCTCTTCCTGTAGATTCTTGGTGCTTGAACTGTTCCATGAATTTGAATGGAGCCTACTACCAAAGTAGAAACTACTCGCCATAGGGGGATTGATCTATATTGAGATTATTGTATGAGAGTATCGTGAACGTATCACGCTGAGGAAGAAACACATTTTTCGGAGCTCCCAGGTGGGTACCTCCTGATGAACACAGATTGAGATAGGAATTGCTGAAAATATTAAGGGAAATGTGCTCCGAATAGAATCCTAGTGGAGCCAATGAGAGCTATTCCGTTCATTATCTTGCTCATACACCTTTTCAAAGTAAAAAAAAATATATTTTTTCCAGGTTTCCTCTCTGAGCCCATTCCAAAGCATGAAACTGAGAGTTTGACCTCCTGGTCAGAGATTCACTATAACAAACTTGAATTTCCTACTCAGTGGGAGTGTGAAGGAAACAGTTTCTGAATTTTCACCAATGCTGATTTTCTGCCTTATTTTCTCCATCAAGTCGCCATTTTAGGGGGTGAGGATGAAGAGAACCAAAGAAACCATAACTTAAAGAACTATCTGGTCTTATGAATCGAAGCACGTTTCTATTGCCCAGAGCAGGAAAGCTCTTGCAATGTAGTTTTGTGAACGCAAGCGAAAACATGCTGTGATGCTCAAGCATCCATCTACAGGTTTCCGGGCGTTATCTTAAAATGCGTGGAAATGTTTTCACTGAAATTGGCGTCCCACTCTTCCATTCGCTGTGAATGATATTCGTTTTATGCTAATTCTTTTGCAATGAAATGAATGAGTGTGAAATGAACAATGAAAGCTGCTGAGTAGAGGAAAATAAACGCGTCACATTAGAGGAGGACGAATGCCCATAAAATTTGTACGGTTGCCATTGCAGGCGCTAACTAGGGGGGCTGTTCCGTAACGTCAAGTCGACGTAGTTTTAGAAACTCGAGACTGATAAATCGTTGATCTATTACCCCAGTGGCTCGGAAATTTTATGATTAAGGTAAGCCTAAATCACAGTTAAAGACTTTTTTTTAGGCTGGGTTTAGGCCTTCGAAGCCTTAATTCCTATTCCAATTTCTCAAATCTCTTCTCAATTTTGGACGTCTAATGAGAATGTGGAAATTGCTCGTCAAGTTGTCTCACCAGTGGAGAGATATATACAGGGTGGCCGAAAAGTCACCGTACCCCTATTTACCTTCTCATATATTTTTTATACAGTTTGCGAATAGAGATCTAAAAAATACCCGTGTGTCCATCTCCCATGCCCGCTCAACGCAGCGGCGAGAAAAATGGAGCATGCACGACCGGCTGGACGACTTCTGCGAAAACTCAGCAGAAATCAGTTTTTGCGGTTAACCATGGCAGACACCCAGGGCCGGCCCTAGCGGATTATTTAGTGATTTATTTAGCGAAGAGACTCCCGAAGTGACACTGCTCTCACAATTCGAGTTTTTGGCTGAAAAAAAATCCTGTGTTGCCCCCCCCCCCATTTTCTTCACCGGACCTTGCTCCGTGTGAACCTTTTCCTGTTCCCCAATATTAAATTTCACCTGAAAGGAAAAAGATTCGAAGACATTGCACAAGCATCAATGAAAATGCGACGAGGCAGCTTCAGAGCCTTTCACTCCAGGACTTCCAGCACTGCTTCCAGAAGTTGCAGGAGCGTTGGGATAAGTGCATAGCATCGAAGGGGGAATACTGTGAAGGGGACAACAAATAATTTTAATGTACTTATTAAAAATAAAGTTTACGGATAAAAGTACTGGAACTTTTGATCAGACCTCGTATATATGATAAGGCACATAGGGGTACGATGACTTCTCGGCCACCCTGTACATTTGGAAAGCTTACGAAGAGAAAACTTATGCCTTGTGTCGTTACATGCATGCGAAGCGTTCACGGTTTTTATCAAAGCATTTACAGTGGGAATGCTGTACTGTATAGCAAAGAAGTTAATTCCTTATTTTGCAATTGGAAGACGACATTTTTCTACGTTAACTGGCCCTTCTTATACATGGTTATTACGATGGTGAATCCGTTTTTGCTATGATCTTCATTCGCACGTTGACTGGGAGTGACCGAAATATGAAAATAATTGAAGAATATTAATTCTTATATTTCCTTATATTTAAGAATAGGCTGTTTCACACAAAAGCTCAAGTGAATCTGCATGAAAAGGCATTTCTACTTCAATTTCAACAAAACAAATCTGAACCTTATTTGAAGTGATTCACATATCCAACATCAATTAAGCAAAATATATTTTTTCCCATGAGATCGAAAGAGATTTTCAGATTCTAGACTGATTTACAAACGCATAACTATCTCACAAAAATTCACATACAACTTGAAAGCTTACATTTCCGGAGCTCCATCTCTTCCTGACATGAAGACATGAATTTGGGAAGTTAGTTTATTTCCTAAGGGATTTTTAGAGACAAAATTATGCATTTATACGCTTGGCGGCTGAAGGAATGTCGTGAAACTCACTACAAATGCCTCCATCATACAAATATCCTGACTTGCACTTGCAGGTTTCCAGGCCTTCATTGCCAACACATTCGGCATTGGGATCTTTACATTCGCCTTCACCAGGGTCACAATACTGATCGAGGTCTGCATTCACCTTCCCTAAAATTGTCAGAATATTGCATTGGAAGTTGCATGATGGGTGGATTCGTGAAACTGCTCGAATCCCTTCAAGTGAAGAAATAGGGCAAATAAAGCTTCGTCTTGCCCATTGGATATACACGGATCTACGATAGCAGTATATTTATATAGTAGAAAAGTACATGATCGGATTCTTTGACCAAATGTTTTTCTCTTCCACGTGAGGGGTGGGGGTGGGGGGGAAGTTTCGTAAGGGATATGAATGCGAACTTACTGCACAAGCCAGAAGTATCGTCTGGGACATAATTTAAGTTGCACATGCAGCTATTTTCGTAACATGCCGCATTAGATACGCAGTCTTCTGCTTCCACGCAGTCCCCTCCTGGTGGCACTCCTGCACACAAAGTTAATGCAACAGTAGTTTCATTCTCAATCCAATATTTTCCTCTTTTTTTTTAAAGAATTCAGGGTCTCAAGGCTAGAATTAGAATGTGACTAGTTATTTTTCCATGCATTACCTCCAAAGCAGAAGTTGTAGTTGATATTTTAAATTGAACGCTCATGAAGTTCATGCTACATTTGGCTTCCGTTGGTCACACTTTTTGAGAACATCTGGGCCACTGGATTATAAACACTAGAACCCTTTCCCCTACTTGCTTCTGCAGGCATATTTTTTCCACAAAGAACTTTGATTCATTCTTAAAGTGCCTGAGGCTCAAAATCTTTGTTGCTGAACATCGTCAGCCATGCTTCACTCATGATTTTCGGAATCTCTTTTCACGGATCAATTAGCAGTACTCTGGAAACTACGAGTATTTAAATTTTGCACATTTTCTGTAATATCTCATTACTCCATTCCTTTAAACCACTCCAGTAGTACGACCGTATGTTGTCGATTTGAACTTGTTATAAGTAAATTAAATATGTTACCGTCATTTGAAAAATAGCACATTTGATAGAACCAACGTCAATATTCTACACATCACCTCAATGAAGCGGATTCATTCTAACCTGTATATGAGTGAACCAGATATGAAACAAATGGAATTAAGTTCTTGCAAAATTAATTTCGCATCCATCAACATCAAAGCCAAATGCAGAAGTGTTTGGCCTACGAAAGGATAACGGTAAGATAATCCATGCAATTCCTCAGGAACACCATCCGCATCAAATTAATATGCTTTTCTATCAGTTATGCTATTTAAACTGTTGTTTTTTACTACTCATGGTTTTTTTTTCATTTGTGAAGCAGTGCCCACCGACGTACTTGCTTCATTTAAACCCTTACAGAAATACGTTTGAAATAAATATTTGACGCCTAAGTGCTAAGGACTACAGGTCACCAGATGCTTCAGTATTGCCACTAATGGGAGAAAGCCAACATTTACGCCCACCGCACAGCGCCCGGGAATAGGACTGGCTAGTGGCATCAGAGACCAAAGCTGCATCTTCTATGTTTTCACTCAACGGTCTGCTGGAGTGCGTGGGAGGATTATCTACTATAAAAGTACATTGAAGCCATGCTACTCACTGCAATTGATACCCTGTTCCACGAACCCATCCGGACACTGGCATGTAGTCTGACCATCTTCATTAGGAGAACATTCTTGTCCTGGATTACATCCCGGCCCTGGATCAGACAAGCATCCTTCACCCAGGATCGGGAGCCCTATAAACGACATTCAGGGTCAGAATACATTTTGATAATGCCTCTGAAAATGAGTGAAATGAGTGAAAGCGCATGTGTCCAGTGCACGAATTATTTAATGTTATCCATCATTCGAGATACCTTGCCATATTCAACATAGTGAGGAGGAAGCCATTAGATTCGAGGAATACGTGGGCTAGGGCAAAACTGAATTTCGCAACGATTTTGGACCCCAATTATGTGTCCACTTTTTTCACTGGAACTGACGGCATCTGTGTGCGCAGGGTCATGTAGCCTTATACCTTCGACGAAACTTGAGGATAAGACGAATTGGATGGCTCGAAGCATGGGAGGATTTCTCTCATTAGAATGTCGAGAGTTGAATTTTGTCGTGATCATCTTTCATGAAGAGCATTGGGCTTATTCCGTGCCCCTTCCGCTGAATCCGCAACACCAGTCTGGACACTCCGCAATCCTTACTTATTTTATGCCTCCTCGCCTTTCAAGGCCGAAACTGCTAGTTTTCTTATACCTACACATTGACAATGATGGATAATAGTTCTTCACTTTTTCAGATTTACCACGAGTTCAGATATGAAGAAAAAAACAACATCTTAACTGAACAAAGTGAAAAGAAAACGCCATCGATATTCCCTGTGACATGTAAATGTCTTCTTTTGACTTATCTATTGTTTCTTTTTTGCGATGGAAAGTGGGGCCTTCAAAGTGTGATTAAATGGGACAGAACCTCTTACGTATGTCGTAAGTTTTATTGGTGACAATATTTTATTTCAAGACAATTATCATACTCTCGATTTCCAATGTCGAAAAATAATCATCCGACCCTCCATTATTATTTATGGTTCTTCGTGGCACTCCTTACATTTTTTAATCCCACGCAATCCCATCCTGTCAAGACATCGCGAGGTTAATTGTCGCATCTTGGTCTTCCTGCATATAATTATTGCTTGTCCTATCCTTCTTGCCAATCGCTATTGGATATTTTCTTGGTCATCTGTGTCATCTTGGTCATCTTTCTGTGTTTTTGGTTTCGCCTTTGGGGTTTCCTATTTCTTTGCAAACGGGAATATCACAACTTCTTATATGTACAGTAATTATGAATTGAAAGTCGGATGTGATCTATATAGGCACGACAGATGACTGAGCGAAAGGACTGTGAAATTTAAAAGATATCTTACCATCACGTCAATGCAGGAAATGTTCCAACAAAAAGCTACGGAATTCACCGATACGCCGATCGGGCAAATTCCGCAATATCTACTCTGGCAATATTTGAAGAGGTATTCCTTTGAATCACCTATTGCTAAACTTTAAAACTCTCGAAGAACTGAATTGACAAGCAATCTACAGTACCATATGTCATAATATATAACAATAGATAATGTTCAGCACACATCCAACATTTGGACTCTCACTATTGGGCACAGAATTTAACGAGGAGGAGCACCTAGCTTTCCTTGCCCACCAGTAATTATTTACCCAGTAGAAATGACGGGAATATGATCGCATTGACGTCACAGTACCTATGGCACTTTCCATTAAACTATCTGATTGGAAAGAAAGATAGGACAAGCAATAATTATATGCAGGAAGACCAAGATGCGACAATTAACCTCGCGATGTCTTGACAGGATGGGATTGCGTGGGATTAAAAAATGTAAGGAGTGCCACGAAGAACCATAAATAATAATGGAGGGTCGGATGATTATTTTTCGACATTGGAAATCGAGAGTATGATAATTGTCTTGAAATAAAATATTGTCACCAATAAAACTTACGACATACGTAAGAGGTTCTGTCCCATTTAATCACACTTTGAAGGCCCCACTTTCCATCGCAAAAAAGAAACAATAGATAAGTCAAAAGAAGACATTTACATGTCACAGGGAATATCGATGGCGTTTTCTTTTCACTTTGTTCAGTTAAGATGTTGTTTTTTTCTTCATATCTGAACTCGTGGTAAATCTGAAAAAGTGAAGAACTATTATCCATCATTGTCAATGTGTAGGTATAAGAAAACTAGCAGTTTCGGCCTTGAAAGGCGAGGAGGCATAAAATAAGTAAGGATTGCGGAGTGTCCAGACTGGTGTTGCGGATTCAGCGGAAGGGGCACGGAATAAGCCCAATGCTCTTCATGAAAGATGATCACGACAAAATTCAACTCTCGACATTCTAATGAGAGAAATCCTCCCATGCTTCGAGCCATCCAATTCGTCTTATCCTCAAGTTTCGTCGAAGGTATAAGGCTACATGACCCTGCGCACACAGATGCCGTCAGTTCCAGTGAANTGCTGAACATTATCTATTGTTATATATTATGACATATGGTACTGTAGATTGCTTGTCAATTCAGTTCTTCGAGAGTTTTAAAGTTTAGCAATAGGTGATTACATTCATGATTGAGATGATTCTGCTTTTAAATGAACTGGGTTGTAATAATTGTTCATGAAATTCCGAGAACTTTCTTTCCAATAGACAAGGCATAGATCTAGGTTTTCACAAAGAAATAGTACAGTCAGAAAGTGATATGTTACGGAATTACCCTCCAGTTTCACGAGTGTTGTGGAATTCCCAGATTTACCCTACATACCTTCCTATTCCTAGTCGGCTTCTATACAAGATGACACATATGGATTCAGACGACTTCCAGCGTTCACATGGGGGTCGCTTTTTCCTCGATTTCCAAGAGGATTTTTTTTTTTAACTTGAAGACACTCCGTGAGTTCAAGAAATGTTTATTTCAGTAAATAATCAAAGAAGAAACATAGTTCATATCGTCCACATGCTCTTAATCAATTATTAAAGCAAATTCGGGAAATTCCTGAAAAACAATATGATACGGAACCAGACGGAAAAATCGTTTAAATAAAGAAAAGTCTCTAAAGCTGTTTTTACTTCAATGCCATCCCTTACAAAAGTGTCTTATAGGATTCCTATATATTCCTTTAGGAATATATAGGAATCCTATAGGAAACCTATCGGAACCTAAAGGAATAATATAGGTTCCTATAGGGTTCAGTTTCGGAATTATGGAGTTCCCAATGGAACCTATAGGACTTATTGGTTTCCCTATAGGCCTATAGAGTTCAGTTTGAAGTTCTCCTATAGGCCACTAGATGGATGTATTGGGTTCTCACATTTCTCAAAGGACATAAAAATGCCCTCCCCTTACCCAAGGAATCATCTCTCACAAGAGAGTTTTGTACATCCCCAAGTGTTTTGCCTTGCCTCATTATAGCAATCAATAAACTTCGACACTTCCTCATTTGTCATCCCCATCTTCCAGATAGAATCATGGAGTCCAGGCAAGAAAAATGTCCTTACTCCTTCTGAAAACCACTCATGAGAATGAGTAAACTTAACCCAAATGGAGTTTCAATAAAGAAGCGTTCTAGCAGGTTTTGTCGTCTATTTCCTTATATCGGGAGAGGAATAATACTTCTCTCTACCGAAGGAAGTAGATGTGCAATCCAGCGACATATGTGCGGCGGGGCCATAAATTATACAGACCCGCGCGGTATTGTTATTAATAATGCATGTGTCCCTACCATGGGAAAGTCCCTAATCGGTATTCGATTTACACCAAAATGCTGCGCCAATGTTAACCCCGGTCGCCTTTTCCGTCGTAATGCCTGAGTTTCGAAACCCAAAAAATCCTTCCCGAATCCTATAGGTTAGGAGGCCTATAAAGACCCTATCGGGATCCTGTAGGATCCTATAGGTTTTTCGTGTTTCAAAAACCTATAGGAAAGTCTATTGGTTTCTTATAAGAAGTAACTATAGATTTCCAATAGGACATTTCCATACGGGATATTCCACGTACAGTATTGATTTCCATAAATTCCTAGGCAAACATTATTGACTCAGTGCCGCCTGCTTTCTTGCGTTCTTCTCCAGCTCGCACCTCCACGTAGAAACAAAATGACACCACCACTCAGGACTCTCTTCTCCGGTATAACAGGGTGCGTATTCAACTCGGTTAATTTCACCTAGTACCCCTAAGTTTACTAAACTTATGACGCCATCATTCACTAATGATTCCCTTGAAAACTCAATTCTCCTAAAAGTAAGGGACAACAGCCGAGTTATCATGGTTGCTTCCTTATCGCCATGGCTCCCCTCCCCACACACAGCTCAACATTGAATTGTCTCGGAAAAAAATTTTTTCTACGATGCCCTAATTTGATGGGACCCCAGCAGAACTGTAACGTCATTTCTCCGTGCGACTCGTCAGAGAGGCTGAAGAAGAAGGCACGACCATAGTTTCTCCTAATGACGCCAATGCTATCTCCCCACTTAAAGCGGAATGGTTTTAGAGTATAGACTCACTGCAGGATGAACCTTCCTCCATGAATCCCACATCACAAGCGCATTCTTGACTGCCTTGGATTTCTGTGCAGTTGGCGTTATTTACGCAGTCTGTGTCTTGCCTGCAATTCCCTCCTACTGGTACCTCTGAACAGAGAAAAAAAAAGATGACACCGACATGTATCCTTGGATGTATTCACGGAACAAGTCGTTAATGGCGTCGACGGCCTAAGTATCCCTTTGCAACTATCTAGACACAAGAATCAATCACACATTGAGTTTAATCAAGTGGGATGGTAAGTTGAAAAGAGTCGGAAAAGTTGACTCACTGCAGAGTTCGTCTTCGGGAACGAATCCGGAGGAGCATATGCAAAAGTAAATGTCTGAAAGTTCTTCGCAGTTGGCATTACTCACGCACTCTTCTGTTTCGTTGCATTCCTTTTCGTATCCTTTTTCTGAAATAGAATATAACGTCACGGATACGATTCATTGGGTGCATCAACGATGCAAGTTTCTGGGGGTATCGGGAGCGATAATTTCCATTAGGTCTGTGGAGACTCATAGGGACACATGAGTTTCATTCCAAAATTATTCGTTCCCAAAATGTCTTGGAAATATCCGGAAAATGAACTGAAATGGATATGTAAGGGATGTTGACTCACTGCAGGCTCCTGCGTCGGCCACAAATCCATCATTGCAAGTACACTGCAGATTTTCAGCAGTTCCTGCGCATACAGAGTTACTGACGCACTCAATCGTTTGCGTACAATTATCTCCTGCTGGTTTCACTGCACAAAGAAAGAAAACGGTCCACTCTTAATTACATGCATTCACAATTGGCATTGCCAAGTACGTAAGGTGCTGCATTTCATTCAATTAATTAATCTCACAATGGTTTCTCCCAATGACTCAAAGTCGTCATTCTTTAGTTGCTGAATACAGACGCAAATAGAGGGGCTAGGGATGGTCACTCACAGCAATATTGGTTTTCTTCTACTAAGCCACTTGAGCAACCGCATATTCCTTCGTTGCCAATTTCTAAGCAGACGGCATTATTGGCGCATAAGCTCGTTTCATTGCATTCTCCTCCGAATGGAATCTCTGAAGAGATAAAGGAAATTATTGGAAATGTTCGATAATTGTTGCGATGCCCAATGCCGCTGACGGGATTGGGCGCTAGAAATGTTCCACGATAATGAGTGAACAAGAATCGTTTTCTTATGTTTTCTCGCAACGACTCACTGACTTAATTGAAATTTATTCTCAAAAAGGTTTGAGTTGAATGGTTTAGAAGGTCTACTCACCGCATAATCCTGCATCTGCCACAAAGCCTGGCTTGCACCTACATAGCAGATTTTCAGCGGTTCCTTCGCACACGGAGTTACTTACACATTCTATTGATTGTGTGCAATTCCCTCCATCTGGTATCTCTAGAAAAGGAATGAGATTCTCTCAGGCATGCGACATTCACAATTCAACGGCGGGGAGGGGAATTTAAGTGCTTAGCGATCATAGCCATCAGTTACCAGGCCAAGAAAGGTTTTGTTTAGTATGCCAATTTTCGTGCTAATAATCGTCGAAGCGGCATACTCATGATATTTTAATATCAACGTATTGGAATAACGTGAATTGTAACTTACGGCAAATGCCTCCATCATCCACGAATTCTTGCTTGCACTCGCATGTTCCCGAGCCTTCCTCGCCAACACATTCAGCATCGGGATCTTGGCATGCCCCGTCCCCTGGTACACATTCCTCATGGAGTCTTGCATCCACCTTCCCTGAAATGTTCATCATGTTCCATTGAAAATCCTCCTGGAGTCTTGATGCTTGAACTGATTGAATTCTCACCGTACCTCTTCGCCAAGTCCACAAGCTGACCACATGTCACTGTACGGTTGAGCTTCTGGTCTGGCCCAACAGCCGAGGTACCCATCGCGCTGAAACTTTGCTCATACCCAAATGGTTGTGCAGAATCGAGTGAACAGAGTCGAAACTGATGCATAGGGCCCTGGAAACCACTTGGCAAATGAAGAAGACATTCAGCTGAGAAACCGTCAGCCGCAAGTCCATCGTCTGCATCAGCAAAAATTGTTACGCATTCAGGAATAAAATCAGACTTTCTTCAATTTGGACACTCATTATCGAGAATGTCATTTTAGAACATAGCCTCGGCCATACACGGCCTAAAGCGCCAGACCTAATAGGCTCCGCCATTCTAGCCATTTCGTGACGCTCGATTATTGATTGGCACAGCTCCCTGTGAAAGAATATCGTATTTACATCGATCAACTGCAGTTTCTCCACTTGAATACATACGTTGATGGTGCATTGTTTCATTGTGAAGTTTATTTTGTTTTTAGGCAAAGGGTGGCGGTTCGTGCGGTTGCAACCATACAATGGTTTTCTGTCTGCGTTTCAAGTCATAGTATTTTTTTTTTAGTTTCCACCATTAATGAAGTGAAAAACAATAAAGTAAATTCTTTGTTTCATTTGTCGTGCAAACGGGCCGCAACTCCCGTCAATATTGACAGTGACAGTCTTCGCGATGGTGTGATTGAATGCGAAGAAGTAATGTTGGTGGAGGTTATACAAGACGGTGAAATAGGAATCGCCGCAGATGAAACGTTCGGTGTTGACGCGGAAAACACATTTGTCGCTGCAACTGCGGTGCGAACTACAAAAACCGATGATTTGGGAAATGCGAGCCGTGGAGGTCCTTGGGCTAGAATGAGTGATGAACTGTGCTCAGCAGTGAATACTGCACGAAGAGAGCGTAGGGCCGCGCAGACCGCGGAAAAGCGGGAGGCAGCGAATGTTGAGGACAGGAAAATGAGAGCCGCGCAGGCTGCTGAGCAACTTGAGGCAAGGAACGCAGCGCGGAGACATCCAGCTCGACCTACTCTCGAACGAGCAGCTGTTGCGGGTACCCCTAACACCGCTCCAGCCCAGCTTCATGACTTGAGTCGAATGAATGTGGTATATGCCGCAACGAGCGCTGTCAGGCTGTACTTTTCGTTGCAGGATGGGGGCATTTACTTCAAAGATGCTGCCACAGCGTAAAGGGAATTATCTCATCAATTGTAGCGTGCTCCGTATTGCTTCCACTGCCCTTGAGCAAATCAGTGAGTATCGAATGTGCCGGGACGACAAAACCAAGAAAACCGTCCCGAGCATCATTTAAAACTTCCTAACAATGGTGATAGGGGCTACGAGCTCGAGTATTTCGATGAGGGTGTTCAGGAACCAAATATCCCTGTGTACTGTTAGCTGCATGATTTTGATGAAGCGGTTGAGTTCCGAATGAGAAACGCAATGAACAGAGGGTGTCGCGCAGAAGTTATGCTGACAATGAACCACGTACTGCGAACGGTCGATCCATACGCTGTGCATTATAGGCGGCTAGGAGAAGTGGCTCGCGAGGAAGAGGTGTTAGGCGTAAGTGTGATAAGTTGCGCGATATGAGACTGCCGTTCACGCATTTTCTTTCCGACGACCGCAGGCGCTACAATTCTCCCACTGGTCCCAATGAGTGCATTCGTATTCGTCGGTGAAGAAGGAAGTTTTTCGCACAATGTTGATATCGCTGTGCGAGCGAAGAACCATCGGACTTGAATTAGCATGGACAATAACAGCCACCATTGATCTACTACTTTTTTCTTAACGGCAATCCCAGTTGGACCATTGGTATTTAGCATGACTAAACGCTACTGTGCGCAACAATAGTCACTCAGCTGCAGCTTTACGCGCAAATAATTTTCATGCGTAGGGATGTGTTCAATCCGTTACATAGGGCAGGAAAACTTTTTTTTATTCTTGTTTGTGAGGTGTGCTTTCGATGATAAAAATTGCCGGGTGGCTTGACACTTTCGTGACACTTGTCGGTGACACTTTCGAACTTCTCCAGGTTTCTTTGAAAGTTTTCATTTCTTGGTTTGAGTTGAACTACTTCATATCTTAATGTAAACATTTTCACATTTTCGCCCGTTAGACGAATTTTGCTGTCCTCTTTCCTCACGATGGAGTGAGGAAAAGAAAAGACCACTATAGATTACGGCCTTGACAGCCTCTCACGGAAGAGACCCATATGAGCAACGGAATTCCTCTTTGCTTCTGTCAATGCACGTTTTCCGCCGGGAGATAGCCGTCCAGATCAGCGTTATTTTAAAAGCTGGAAACGCACCCTCCGGATATTTCACGAGATTTTTTCGCTCCAAGAAAACAGTTGCTGCCCTTGTGCCACAATAGATGAAGCGAAATGATTCTCGGAAATGATTCCGAGAAGGAAATTCTCGGGGATGCTGACATTCACTCCTCTCCCACCAACGAAGAATTTCAAACGACGTACTGTTCACTAGCGCGGGGTATTGCATAAGGGAATAATAATTTGTGGTGAAGATCAATGGAGGCCTGTGATGAAGATCAATGGAGGCCTGTGATGAAGATCAATGGAGGCCTGTGATGAAGATCAATGGAGGCTCCCTGTTCCTGGTTTCGACGCTAAGTGCTTGATGGGGCTGCTGCTCCACCTTGACCTACGCAGACAGTCTCGGTAGGTAATGTAACAAGGCAATGAGGATGATTTTTGGACTGGTAACTTCACTGTCATCTCACCTCGTTATCTCATTTTTCAAACATGTCTCCGTGATTTCGTGATATGGCCTTCGATGCGGCGAAGAGGAGAGACGAAGTTAAACAGGCGCCTTTTGAAGGTCAGATAACAAGGAAAGACGAGGGTGAAGATACCAGCTAAAACCTGACCCTCATTGCCTTGTCACATCATCTTGCGAGACTGTAAGACTTAAAGGTTGCGAGCTCTGAATACGCAAGTTCATGATACATTCTCAGCCATCAGATTTATTTGTATCGTCGAACGCCAGATGCGTGAGTGTTGCGAGTTGGGTTGGATGAAGGGGCAAGTACTCCACAGGAATCCTCTTTACATGTAGCAAAATTTTCAAGCAAATGGTGCTCTTACAATGCACTCTGGGATTGATTTTATTTGAGAGCATATTGTTGAGTTTGAGTTTGGAATTAGCAGTTCTTGGTCGACAATATGACAAATATGACATGCTGCAATTGTCTTCCTTGAACCAGAATGGAAATGGAAGTGTGTCTTCCAGAGTGGAAGAAATATTCAATTCAGGCAACTACATGAAAAGTTTACTTCGTAGATATACCATGTCCCGAACTGAACTCGACAGTTGTTACAATACTTTTCTAATCATTTAAGAGTAGTCTGATTTATTTATTCGCCTTTGCGGGGGCAGCGATGCTAGTACCAGATGGCCGGGTCATCAGCGAACTGGGAAGCTTGAATTTCGCAGTAAGAGAGTTAGGAAGGTCGTGCACATACAGTTGAGCATGAAAGGAAGAGGAAAGAGAAGGGAACCCTGAGGAACAGCTGATAGGGGGAGTTTGTCTGACACGGCTTCCTGTTTTGCTATTTATTGAAGTCACCTTGGAAATCGAATCATCTTCCTTCCTTCGGGCCAGAGTTTCCTGGCGATTCCTTGGACTGAGTTACCTTGTAAGAAGGATTTGTTGAACAATTCAATTGTCTTATTCTGTGGTGTTTGTGAGGGAGATCGGGCCGTGCAAAGAAACTATTGGAATCTAATTCTAGCTGCATGAGGTTTTGACTCGCTACTTTGACGTCATCAATTGTGAATTTGTGCATTTAAAATATTGCGTATCTCTGGTATAAAAGTTGATCTTAACACATTGCGTACCGGACATTCTACCCCGTCGACCCGCCGCTCTGACTTAAGCCTCAGTTACCTTAGCCTGAACTTCGGTGCTTCAAGGCTATGACTTTTTCGGCCAGGAGAGTCGCGGCAACGTCAAAGACTAACAAAAAGAACGTGGATGCTGTTCAGATATTGTTTCAGTGAAGATTAGAAACCAGAACAGAGAGAAACCGTTCTAATGGGTGAGCTAAATTCAGTCATCTGTTACACAGGACAAAACAAACCAATTGACTAGCAACTTGTATCTAATAAAAGATCAGAGGCATTGTCTATCTGAATATGGTATTGAACTTCAGATACCATATCTAGTTATGACAGCACAAAGTCAAAAGTGTACAGTTAATGTCGTCTTCGTTTCGTAAATGATTGTTGAGATCCCCAACCGGGGACCTTTTCATCGAGTCTCTCTTGATCTGGTTGGACGCACTGAAGTACTCCATCAATGGTCTCCTTTTGAGGCATTCAATTTCAACACGGAATAAGAACCACACGTTGACCTCATCCGCCGCTCATCTGGCTCTCTTTCCGCACTGGAAGTGCTTATCTGTTTAAATCTATTTGGTGAACCTCTCTTTTATCACAGCCGGATCTGCATCTCCCAAAGAGAAGCCAGACGCAGCCTCCACGATCGAAGGGACACCGTTTAAATTATCTTCTCCTCATCAAATTAAGCCTTTACTTGAACCATGTTTACGGGCACTATTGGCAGGAGTATCACTGGAGACTCCTATTAATTTAAACCCTTTGAAACAAATGCAGCGAGAAAGTTGAGTGTCTTCCCTTTCGTTGTCCCTGTGAAAAGAGTATGTATCGCATAAAAAGTGCAGGCGACTCAAAGCGAATAACTCGCTGTACCACTGAAATATCGCCATCTCACTTCATTTGTGGGAAGCTTATTTCATCAAATAACTGAGATAGATGGCTAACCCACGTAAGGGGCAAATGCCGTACCAGTGCCGAAGTGGGGCCAACATGAGGTGCCTTCTCCCGCTCCTACATACAATCAACGTGGATCGAAGGTGTTGTTCTGTCTGATTTGGAGTTCAG